GCACTTCGACATGACCAGTGAAGCGCAAGATAATTGAGAGGAAGCAAAAATGAAATAAAGCAATCGTCGATGCTGACATGCACGCTGATGTTTTCTTGGCCAGCGTAAATTGCGGCTACTATAGTCCAGGACAAAGTATACGGTGACGATATGGCCAAAGATATATGACTATAGCCCAAAGTAAACTATTAGGAATGATAAGATCCGTTTTAGTAATTAACAGGCAAAAAAAAAAAAATTATCATTCGTCGTTTCAAACTTACAGTCATAAAGAATGAACTTATTTGAAAATAGAAAATCAATAATTTAGAAAACAATCAATAATTTAGTATCTAAAATAATATTCCAAATAAAACTTAAGTTAATGAAACTTAAGTTTCAAATGAAGGTTAAGTTATGTGTTTAGATATTGAACATTATCTTTATTTGAAATATTAAAATTCTCGCTCATCGATTAATGAACTGTAAAATTTTCTTTTCTCTAACGAAATTTTTGTAATTTTGTAAATTTTTGCAAGTGGAATTTTAGAATTTAGGTATAAAATGACAGTTATCCAAATTTCAAATTTTCAAATGTCTGTTTAACACAAAACAATTTTCAATTAAGTTTTCGTCGTTGGAAAGTTTCGAATTTGTTTTGAGAGATTAGTTTAATTGTAATCTAAAAATAGCAGAAATTTTGACGAAAAAAAAATTCTCTTTTTAAAAAATAGAAACTTTTTGAATTTGAGATCGAACTTGCAAAATTTGCTCTTTTGATCGTTGCACTTCTTTTATCTCAACTTTTTACACGCTAGAATTGCTGAAAATAATGAATCATATTAATATTTAAAACTCATCCATTCATTTTTTCGAGAGGTTAAAGATTTAATTTAAAATTTTATAGAGAATGTAAATGAAGAAATCCAAATTTGAACTTTTTGTGACCATAAAAATGAGTAAAGATTATGGATCTGAAGTGTTTGTATGGATTGAATAATAATAAGAAAACAACTTGATTAAAATTCTTTGAGTTTTTTGAAATAAAAAGTATTGGCAACATAAATTTCAATTCAGATCAATATTTTTCCAATCTGCCATCAAATAATGACTTTTTCTTATTTCAACAGATCAATAAAACAAATTTGATCGAATAATAGATTCTTGATCAGTTTAATTTTAAAGATACTGAACTCTTTTTACAACTTTAAATTTTTTATAAACTATTAAATTCTTTATGGATTTAATTTTAAAAGTGCACCCAACACAGTTTTCACTCATTTGTTCAAACATTTGTAAAATTAACGTTATTATCCAAGAAGCCATCAAAAAGGTAAAACTAAAAAATATTTCATTCCATTCAAGTAATTGAAACTTCAAATTTCAAAATTATATTTCTTTTCAGTTTTCTTCAACTAAAGTATTTTCATAATCATTATTTTTCAAAAAGTAAAAGTAAAAAGGAAATTTCGAGAAATTCATCTATTAGACTAAACTGCAAATGATTGAACGCTAAAAGCAACAGCTCTGTCGGATAATTAATTATGGATCAAAAAAAAAAAAAAAATTGTGAAGTGAATATTCGTTGATGAAAATTCGCACTCATCCACAAAATGAGGATGGCGGAAGATGAAACGTAACGGAAAGGGAAAAAGGAAAAAGTGGAAAAGCGTGCAAATGCAAAATGTAAAAGGAAATTTCCTCAATTGCTTCAACTTTGAATGCAATAATGAAGAAAAATTTTTATGAAAGGCAAAATTCAATTTCAACGAATTTATTCAATTGTAAAGTTCACACACGTCAACAACGACTTGTAAAAATATCCGACGGATTCAACGTGATCCATCGATAAGTGCATGCACTTCTAGCATTCCTCTCCAAGTGATCGTTATTTATTGAAATTTATCAAATAAATGTTTTTCATTGAGAGAGAGAGAGAGAGAAAGAGAGAGAGAGAGAGGAAAAAAGAGATGAACTCTCATGGAAGAAGCATTAGGTGAAGAGAAAAAACTTTGACAGCAAAAAAAATTATGCAAATAAGCAATTACTTTGTTTAGTTTCACACTGTTTATTGAAAGGAACATGTAATGGTATGAAGAAATTTTTAGAAATTCACAAGTTATTAAGTCACAGAAAAAATTGATTTAAATTGTTTTCATTAAAATCAAGAAGAAATGAATTGACTGTAGGACACTTCAATGATTCTTCCTACCATTGATATCATCAAATGGAATGATAGGGGAAAAGTTGTTTCTTTATTACATTATATCCTATCTGTTACTATGACTACAAAAAAAAAGCCTTAAATTGCCAACTATCATGTCCAAGAATATAAGATAGGCCTAGTGTGCCAGGCTCTATTATCTGCTATCAAATAATTGCTAATATTTTATATGATAAGGAAGAAAAAACTTGAGAAAGATAATAAGCTTAAAATAAATGGATTATTGTATTTAGCTTTATATTTTAGTTTCAAATTTGAGCTAGATAATAATTTAAATGCTAGAATAGCAAAATCACAAAAGCTAGCTAGCTAGATAGTACGAAGAAATTCGAACAATCTATCTAAGAAAAATAATAGTTGAATAATAAAACTTATCGATTTAGAAATTGAAATTAAGTTTAATTTAAATTAATTCTAGAATTAATGATCTGACGAGTGTAAAAACTGAAAATGGGCAAAAAAAGCCTATTCGTTATGGAAAATACTGCAAAATACTGCAGCAATGAAAAAATTTGAATAACTCATCGTAACCTATTTTCTTATAAGATTTCACTTGTCGAGATTGGATTTTTTCTTTTGTTCTTGAAGATTTAAGGGATTCAGAATGCTCTTTTTTCATGTATGATTCAGATTCTTTTATGAATGATTCCCTTTCAATCGATTTCATTACATTACTTCAGAATTTTGGATGACTATATTTCATTTTAAAATGAACTTGGTCATCATCAATAATTAAAGCCATCTGAATAGCTCTTCATTCATCTCGAATAATCATACTATATTGATCATGCAATAATAACATTTTTGAACTTTCTTCAGATATGGAAACATTTTTCTACCTGCTTTGCTTTGATTACTTTCTAAATTTTTCACACTTATTATCGATTAAAATTCATTTAAAATTACATATTCTTCCATTTAGTTTTTATTCATTTACATCATTGTTACTCAATTATTGACCGAATAGAACAGAATTAGGACGGATGTAGAATGATAAAGAATTTTACACTGATATAGAATGTTATTCATTGCATTCAAATTTACTCAAATATGCGTTTCGTTTTCTGTATCGTAGTTAATTAACGCAAAGAAATTTAAATCAAATGTGCTAAAATTTTTTTGCAAGTCACATTTTGAGAATTCGCAAAGAAGAGCATAAATGTTGATACGATTTTCATTGTATAATTATCTATACTTCTTCTGATTTGAAACTCTTTCTTCAACGAATTCCACAAATTAAGATAATAATTGTTTATTGGAATGTATGATGTATATCACCCTTAATACTTTAATACTCCTTTAATATACTTCTATTTTCTAACACTTCTATTTTACTTTCGGATTAATCAACTGCATTTTCAATTTCTTCTCATACGATGCTTAATTTTTTAAATATTGAAATCGATTGCTACAATACTGAAATCAATCATTGTAGTCATTTAATTTATATAAAACGCATATGGAATCTATCTTATCTACATCATTTGTATTGTAATATTAAAAAATTACGGCTTTAAATAGTTATATTAAACTACGTCCGTTCTATACATTTATTCTCGTCCTGTTTAACACTTTGAACTTTTCATCTGATTCATCATATTATGACACATATTAAGGAAAAGTTCAACTTGGGTGAAATACAGAATAAGTGGAAGAATTCCAAAAAATTAACCTTCCAAAAATATCGTCTTGTTTTTGTAAATCAATGTATCTGTATTTTTGCTATCACACATTTATTCAGAAAGTTTTTGCTTTTAAAAATCAGCCTATCACAATAATTGCTATTGCTAATCGCTAATAATATACACAGTTATGATACACATTGTTTATGTAACCGCACAACATAATCATGTTCCGTGCTGACTTTACAAACTATTTGGAGTATATAACTCTTCTATTATTTTTATCAATTTCACACAAGTAAAGTAACTCATTCCTTAAAAATTTTGTCTAGAAGTTCGGCAATTACCATCAAAGAAAAATACGATCAAACCGACGTAGCCAGTGAAATTGCTAAATTATCTGCAAAATGTAAAATAAAAAATAACAAGTAAATGCAAACATATACAAGATATATTATAAAAGACACTAAGAAAGTAAGTAATTAAGTAGACAAATTAAAAAATGAAAAAAAAGACTTCGACATTTCAACATTAAAACTCATGATTCGACCAACTGCAAAAACTATAACATTATAGTAAATCCTGCGATCAATTAGCAGTATAACAATATTATTTGAATCGTAACTGCTCTAAGCAGTAGGAAAACTTGATCTTATTTTTCAAGATATCGTTACAGTGACGTTCATCAAATATAAAAATTATAAAGAAGAACCAGGAATTTATGTATGGCATCAAAATGAGAAGTAATGAAGATTTAGATGAAAATTCGAACTGACAACGTCCCTGATTCATGCTGGATCCGGTGAACTGGAATCATAACCAGCGTCGACTTCCGAATAAAATTAAGTAATTTTGAAATAATCCAATTCCCTGATATAATTTGCCAAACTTCAAGTTTAACAAAAAAAAATCGTACAGCAAAATGAAAATGCAGGAAAAGAATAAAACTCTTCCCTGCAAGTTGATCGTGCATGAACCATAAATACCTTATTTGCAAATAATGGACTGTTCAAACGACCGAAACAAATTTAGTTGCTGCCACCAACAGCGGTGAAAATTGTGTAATAACCAAATGTTACATACCTACATCTGATACCGAAAATGCATAATAGAGTAATTATAGATCATTAACATTTTGTAGTCATCAACAGCTACACTGTTATCGTGATAACAAATCATTCATTGTAATGTTTTGATGAATGTTGTAAATAATGCAGTGAGAATGCACTGATTTTAAAATGTTCACATAGTTGACGCACCTAAAAAGACAAAATTCAAATCAAGTTTCTGTGAAATTTTTGAAAAACAAATATTCAAAATTACCATTGACCGTCTGATGCCTCAGCAATGAATACGTCTGCTCCGGCAAAACTCCAATAAATGAAAATTATATTTAAATTCAAACGAATTAATTTCTTACCACACAAATTCCAAAATGTAAGTGAGCAGAGATTATGACAGCGACAGCAAGTCGTAAAAAAATCAATTCCTGATAAGCTGATAAAAAACCCGATAAAGATGTTATGGCAACGATGGAATATACTGCTAAGCATAAATTAAATAATTCTGCACGAGTATTACACATCTGCGCGATAATCAATTTGCACTACAACAACTACACGGTTAGCCACTTAACACGGATTAATTATTAAATAATTAATAATATGATAAATGTGCAATTGTATTTAACTTATTACATTTTCTAAAAATTCCTAACGTTAAATCAGTTAAACTTTCTTACCGCAATATTCGAAAAAACAGTTCCCATAGTATACAAATAAAGACGAGGATCACGCTCAATAATTTTTCCAGGAGAATACAAGGCCCAAAGTATCGAAATTGAAAACAAAATTAAAGATGGATAGAGAGGTAAGCACATTTCGTAAAAATTGTCCTGTAAAAGTAAAAAAATAAAATGAGAACCAAAAGTCGACTGAAATAGTATTTTAGATATTTAACAAATATTGGTGAAAATGTTCAGTTCTTTGTTGATCATCAAAAAGTCAATTATGATTAATAAATCACCTGTTTTCCTGTGTGGTCCACAAAATAAGATAGATAAATGTTTCGAGCAGATACCATTAATGATATGTAACAACACACTAAAATGAAAAACTTTTTTAGTTAATATTTCACCCTGAATCTTTAAAGCGTTAAAGTCTAAATATAATTAGAATTGGCGAATAATTCATTCAACATACACACATCTGCCTACCTAATTAACAACGACTAATGTTTTCAGCTGCATTTGTTGGAATGTCATGTTAAATTAAACAAGATGCTAATACTAACAACAGATCAAGCAATTTTAGCGATTTTTTTGCAAAGATTCAACGGTGCAAAACATGTACAAAATAAGTGAAAAACTGACCATAGAAACCAAATTCAAAACAAACAGCCATTGTAAAATTACTGGAAACATAAAATTTGAAGTACTTGTCGCCTTTGAAAAATGCAAGCAAATAAAATAGCATAAGCCCCTTAAAATTTTAAAGTTTAATTAAAATTTATAAACTTCACAGTGCATAATATATATCACATTATTCAATTCATAGAGAATTTACTTATTGTGCTTCAAGAAACTTCAAACTTATTCCCAACCGAAATGAAATTAGAAAACGGATATGTTTCAACTTTGAATTAATTCCAGTGAGATCATACGTAAAAGAAAAAGAGCTTACATATTGACTTAAATCATAATTCCACGGGAGAAATAAAATTCCAGTATTATATTTTTCCCAATGTGAAACAATGAACACCGCTTGAACGCTGATCAAAACCAGAAGAAGTCGAACCGGTGACAAACTAAAAAATTGAAAAATGGTACGACTTTTACTTTCTCGGAGAATTTTCTAGTTCTCTTACATTTTAGATTTATTTTCTCAGCCTATAACATATCACTTTTGCTTTCTTTTTTTTAGACCAGAGATTTAGATAAAACTGCTCCAAGGAAAAAGTTGGATCCTAAACACACTAAATTCAACCATCTAAATTGATTTCTAACTCATGCTACTCATGTTCAAAATCATTTACATTTGTCATTGATTTTATCAAACTTGCTTATTTGTTTGGTTCAAAAATTGATTTTAAATATATGGAATGAAGAGCCTCCATCCTACCTAAATTCGCCTTGACCAAAAATGGAAAAAATAGTCAGTGTTAGTGGAACTGTGGACCATGAATCCAAACCATGATCAACTGAAAAAATTAGAATTAATAACTCCATTTTTTGCAAAGCCGTAGAAAAATTACAAAAAAAAAACAGTATAAAAATATGGCCGAAAAATCATCGTAATTATATACTAATCATTAAATAAACTAGAAAAAGCAAAGAAAAATCAATCCACACATAATAACGAATTAATAAAATTGATTTGTATCCAAATTTAAAATGATTAATATAACAAATTAGTAATTAATAAGAAATGAAAGAACTAACAAAGTTCACCAGTTGGCCCAGATACTCCCATGCGACGTGCCTGCTTACCATCGGTACCATCTAACGTATGTCCCAAAAAAGTACAAATCGAGCATAACAACCAAACCCAATTTGGGATAGATCCTGAAATTGACAAACATACAAGTCATATTAACAACAGTTACAAAAATAAATATAATTGGAAATTTAAATCATTTATATTAATTAATCTATTATGACAGAAACATACCTGCTAGGTTAATTATTAAATTCATTAAATTGAATTTTGGGGAGTTTTCAGGTACAGGCAGCCTATCTACTTTGTCATAGGATTAGAAATGCTCAAATAAATTCACCAAACTGTTACATTACACAGTTTAAGTGAGCAAACTAATATCTAATGTTTCACTACTGCTATCAATAACTAGATAATTTAAAAAAAATTAATAAAAAAAGTTAAAAAAAAAATTTTTAGCAGCTAATGAAATAATATGAAAAATGCTATGTTAGAAAATTAAGTTAAAAATGAGCACAGAAAGAAAGCTTTTCCAGAATTTTCGACGAGAATATTCGAATTAGCTGCCACATAATAATCGTAATATGAGACGACCAAAAATGCGAACATAACAAATACGAATCCAGCTAGCGTTAGTACATTCGGTGCCAACCAAGTCGGATAAAACTGTTAAAATTAATTACTCAAAATTGAAATTTCAATAATTACATCAAAATCACAAAAGAAAAAACTTTCCAACTCTTACTTCTAATCATTATTTTATTATAGGAGAAAATTTTTAGCTATAAGCAATGCTCATTTTTTCTGTATATAAAGCAATAACATCATAAGCGTTTTAATGTAAAATGTATCACAGAATATTAAGTCAAAAGCATTTTACTTGTACGATCCAATTCCAGAACGGATGTGAAACATACTTCGATAGCGGGCTTGAGTCCACACTGCAGTACTGAAATGAAATTTCATCAATAAAATGCTTCATAAATTCTAGGAAAGGACATGAGTAAAATTAAGCATAAATTTTAATTCTTCAAATGATAAAATAATTCACTTTATATTTGTCAAATCCTTTGATTTGTCCTTCATTGAGGTATTTGTAATCGAACAATTCTATCAGTCTCATATCTGAATGTAATGGTATATAATGAAAAATTGGACAAATAAACATTCTCAATAAATACATCGCAAAAGGTTAATTACCCAGAAAATATCATTTATCGGAATAAATCTCGAGAATGATTAAAACGATTGCTACACAAATGAACAAAATGAAATCTGACACAATCCATGACCTCTCAGTATTTCCTCCAACATCAACCTTCCTCTTCTTTGACAATCTCTTCACATTGTATAATATCTTCTCTCATTCACAATTTCATTCCACTCCCGTTGAGAAGTAAGCATTGGATAGAGGCTAACAGCAGCAGCCCATTCCTTCCCATATGAGAAGCAATATAGATGGAGTGGTAGTAGTACTAGCCAGCCGTTATATTTTTGGTTGGCAATACCGAAAATATTTAATAATCGATTGTATTGATTATCGATCGATCAATACCACTGATATAGTCTTCTTTCACCTCTCTCTCTCTCTCTCTCGTTCCCTGTAAAATATCGCTATTAATTAGGCAAGCTTTTGTATCCTATTTTACAAATAATTATTAGCCAAATAATTCAAACATACATACACACACATACACACAAAAACACACATAAACTCGTAAAATATTGTTGCAAATTTGTTTAAAATAAAACAAACATAAATTTTGCATTACTTAGAAATCATTTTGATGGTATTTTTTTTTTCTAAAATGCATTTCTTTCACTCCTCCAAAATTTGTTTGTTACATTTCATCCAATTATTTACAATTGTTTATGCATTAAATAATTTCAATTATTTTAGCGTTTAGAATTATTTTTTTTTTTTGGAAACTTCCAAGTGTGACTTTGATCTTTGCTCTTTTCATTTTAATAACGAATGTATCATTCCTTCTTCTCTTACAACGGAAACATACAATAATTCAAATTTTTTATTGACAACAACAAACACATATACACACATACGCACATATACACGCACACACATGTATAAATGCACACATACACACATTCATACATACACGTACAATACACGCATAAACATGCACACTCACACATACATGTACACATACATACACGTACACACACATACACGTACTCACATATGCACGTACACACACACATGCATGTACTCACACATGCACGTACATACATATTCACACATACATATACACACACATGCGTCCATAGACATACATCATCACATACACATGCACAGACACAAGACATGTATTACATGCACGCATATGCATGAATACACACATATATACATGTACATAAAGAGAGATATATATTTAATATATTTAACCAATCGGTGGAGTGTAAACATATTTGTATTAAGGATGTTATGAGAGGAATAGAACAGTCTTTTCACATGTCCATTCTTTATCTTTCATTCTGTCTCGAGAAGTACCGTATCGTACTGTATTGTAATCATCGATCAATACAACAATAAATAATATTGTTTTGTACATTATCACCTATCCTCATAAATTCTATTTTCATTTGGTACGAAGCGGTGGCTGACACAACACATTCAGAGATCGTTGAGGAAGAAGAACTACAGAGAGAGAGAGAGAGAGAGAGAGAGAGAGAGAGAGAGAGAGAGAGAGAGAGAGAGAGAGAGAGAGAGGCGATTAAATCGGAAATATTTTTTGTGGTAAGCTTTGACAACGGTTCATCAAATCTTAGGACTATTTTCCGTGTTTTTTTTTTCTCTCACTTCATCATTTTGTAAGTGTAATAGTTTGAAATTTTTTTATTCAATTTGATTTAAATTTAATTTTCATTTTATAATAAAGTCTTGAATTATCGATTGAAGCAAAATGCTTCTTAAAGCGTTTTTTTCTCTCTCAACTTTATTTTTGTCAAAAGTTAAACATTTTGCTTTATTAATTAATTTAAAGATATATTGTTCTGATTAAGAAATTTACAAATACATTTCAATTTCATCAATGATTTATTGTAAAGTCAAATTTAAATTAAAAATTGAATATAAAAAATAAGCTTTTCAGTTGTAACGATTCTTCCTGCGATATCGTGATTTGATTTTCCTGTTAGCTGTAAATGAGATTGATCGTATGAATAACACCTGTGACAATCCATCCAGTTTTTTGATTTTAAATTCACTTTTAATTCAGATTATGAAAGCGTTAACGTCATAATAAATAATATTCCCTGAATTCTAGAAGTATGCACTACTGAGAAAAATATCCTGTCAGAAATTATGAATTAGCAATTTTTAGGTTAATAAGCAAGAAATCAATGAATGTTTTTCAATTATTTCTTAAAAGATAAACGTTGTTAATTTATGATCGTAATTTTAAATAAATATTTCTATACCAATCGTTAACAACGATGACAAGTGAATTTTTCCTCTTTTTTTTATTTCGCTGTTAATGGAAGCAAATTACAAATATTCCCCTCTCCCTCTCCCCTCTCTCCCCTTCCCTCTCTCTCTCTCTCTCTCTCTTTCTTCCTTTTTTCAAGCAGAGAAAATTCTCTTTAAATTTAAAATTTTCTATGCATTTCCAAATATCATCTTGGGATTAATTTGCTTTCTCCTAGAAATGCTTTTATAAGGGAAAATTTTTTTTGATTTTAAAATAATTCCGTATCGTTCAATTTTGATACATTCATTACGCTTCTCTATGAATCACTCTCGAGAGAGGGAAAATTTATTCCAAATCTAAAATCTAGAGATTAATCAAATCTTTCTGCATTTTCAATGAATATAGATCAGTGATTTATATAGAAAAGCAGTTTATATAATTTCGAAAATTGGAGCAATTCCCGTTAAATGTTCTTTTTCAACTGCAATCCTGGAACTGTTATTAATGTACCATATACAATATGAAAGAGAATTCATCCCTCAAAAATTAATATTTTTCTACCCTACGGCTATTTTTTCCGGATTGCATTGGTTAATTCATTTCTCATCCATTTGCTGCATTTCGATGGAAATGGCTGACGAGAATTTTTGATGTAAATTTAGTAGTAAGATTTATTCAGTTATTTACTTATTCCATTCTATAGTTTCCCATATTTATTTTTCATCTTACTTATTCCATTCTATAATTTCCCTATATTTATTTCTCATCATCATCATTATCTGTTCACTTTTTTCTTTCTAGCTGTGCATTCCAATTCTGAAACTTCAAACGTAATGATGACATATTAAACGTAAAATTTTGACGTGATACGTGATTGCGTGTGCCATTGTAGATCATCATTATGTCGAAATCAATGAAAAATAATTGAACTCTGATGATAATTATTATATTTTCTCTCATTTTCTTGTTCTTTTTTTTCTTTTTCTTAAAATTAATACAATTCTATTGATTTTTCAATGAAATATTTTCAGATTTTTAACTCAATATGCTATGAAACTTTCCCTTATTGCCATTTGCTGATAAATCTATTTCATAATTTTTCTCTCAATTTTTTTTTTATTTTCATTCTAAACTTTCTATTATATTTAAATCATATTCAAAAAAAAGTGATTTAAAGTTTTGTCTTTTAAAAATAATAAACGAACTTATTGAATTGCGTTTTACAATGATATATTTTTGATTATTTTTTTCTCCTTTTCTTAATTTACTTACTTATAATTTCTCAAGCACTAATTAGCTAAAAGTATCCTTTATTATTGTAAGATATTTGTTATCGATCACATTTTAATAATAATTATAAAAAAGTTATTGATGATGCACAGGTATTGAATTACTTACTAAATACATCTGTTCTTTCTCATTTATCATCACAAATAATATGATTTATTCTTTTGTTTTGCTGAAAGAATATTCAGACTGAAATTATAGAAATGAATTTTAATTTTTCTCATAAAATTTCAAATTTATACTTTACGTTATGTGATCTTTTTTTCTCACCTGAAATTACAATTTCCTGCCGCTGCTACAATTTTTGGGTAATATTTATTTATTAAAATTTTGTTAACCAACCTATAGGCGGATAAATTTGGGTACTGAATAAGAAAGAGGGAGAGGAAGAGAGAGAGAGAGAGAGAGAGAGAGAGAGAGAGAGAGAGGGTGTTAAATGACCTCCACATTTATGTATGTGTTACATTTACATTTAATGATAACCGTGCATTAAGAAAGGCAAATCAATCGTACATTCCGCTTCCCCCAATCTGTGGGTCATTTGTCCAATCTTTAAGGCAAAATAGCCAACCAAAATTTAAACTTCATATAACTCAATCATACACTTCCATTATCTTTCCTTTCTTTTAATCTTTGAAATTGCAATTATATCAGTTCATAGTTTTATATCTCTCCAACAGCTAACTATTTAGTATGAATTAATACTTCTAAAATAAATATTTATTTTTAGATTAGAATAATTTTAAAAAGGAAAAAAAATTAAGGATCAAATTTTTGACATGATTTGAATTTGGATGATGATAGTATGATCGATATGATAAACAGAAAGAAGAATGCATTTATGTATCAAATTTAAACTCTTTATACTTTTCTTGGCTTCTTTTCCTTTAGCCTTTTTAAGCCATCTTTAGGCTTTTTCGTTTCTTTTTCTCTTTTAGACTAATTTATACATTCATTTCATCTCCCATCCAATGCGCCTCTCCGTTTGTTTATTGATTCGTCGTCCATTTTCCTATGAATAAAATGACCCTATTTTAAGTAGTTCGATGACTTCTGCATCGTTTGCCATAAATTTGTCATGTTTATTATTATGATTATTATTATGATTGTGATTATTATTATCATTGTTATCATTATTATTTATTATTATTATCATCATTGTTATTATCAATTGTTATCATTATTATTAATTATCATCATCATCATCATTACTATCATTATTACTATCATCATTATTATCATCATTATCATCATCATTGTCATTATCACTATTAACTATTACTATTGCTATTAATTATTATAATCAATTATTGCTGATCATTGTTGGGATTTTTGCACTTTATGAATTAATGAAATCAGTTAATGAAATCATTGTTTCTTTTCTTGAATTGCTCTTATTTGCTTTTTTTCAATTAGAAAATAGAAATTGAAAAATTGGGATGATATGAAAGATTAAGAAACGAATTGATATTGTTAAGAAGATTGTTTGTCATCTGGAAAATTTAATTCCGCTATTGCTCTCAAAGAACTTAATTGCAATAGAAGCATTTTCGCTAGCAAATAATACCATTAAGTTTTTATCCCATGAACAGTCTTGTTTTGTTCTAGTTTCACATCTGCTGGTTTCATATGTCGAATTCATCGATTAAACA